AGAGAGAGAGAGAGAGAGAGAGAGAGAGAGAGAGAGAGAGCACAATATAAAAATGTTCCAGATGCCTAGGAATCTAGCAAACATTTGCCCAACTGTACACTCAATGGTCATTCCAAGGAGACAATAATAATGGAATTTCCAGTTGCCCAACTCTTCTGATATCTCTCTTCTCCCCCCAACTCCCACACAGCCTCACTCTCCAAAGCACTGAGTGTATTACCAGAGCCTGCATTATGTGGGACAAGGGACACATGCACAGACACTCCCTTCCACAAGTGCAGAGCCATAACTAGGGTGGGACAATCTGGGCTTTATCCAGGTTGCTGAAATCCAAAGAGTACAAACATCACTTACAGACAGTCCTTCAGCAAGTAGTGTAAAAACAACTGAACTTAGTTTCCAGTTAGCAAGAATAATTTGTTGAAATAGAAAGCTTCAAAGTAGAACTTTTCATCTTCCTGTTGGATGATAAGCCCTGGGGACCCTGTTCACCAACCCTTCAGACACCAGTCTCCCTGGCAAAATGGCCTTGAGGAGACCCAGTGACTCTGCCTACAGTGACTGGCATGCTGGGGTGTGCATCCTTCCCTAACAGGGGAGTGCTCTGAACTCTATCCCAAACGAATTTGTCTTGAAGTTGATTTGAGAATTACTGCATGGAGTTCATCCTCAATACCAAATTTCTTAGTTTTAGCTCTGCTTCAGACTGACCGACCCCAACACAGGCTGACTGATGCACGGATAGCCAAACATTAAGAGTTCCTGCAAAGGAAACTGGATTCAACATGACAACCAGAAAGTGGAGAATAGGGGGTGGGAGGAGGAAAACATATGCCCACATCAACTCATTCCAGGGAGGGCTTCCTGAAGAAGGAGAAATTGTAGGAAGCCTTTAAGAGGAAAGGATGCAGAAATGTCTGACCTAGGTATTGGGAGAGCATTCCTTATTATACACAGCTACATAGGCACACATAGGCATACCTTCTCAGCGGTATAAACACACAGAGTCACATACTCAAGGATATATGAACCTACCTAGACATATTCCCTTCAAAAGACTGGCCACTCACACTCTCCCAAGAGTCCCTAGGGCATGTCTCCTTACTAGTACACAGGGAAGCTGGTCCAAGAACCAGGTTTCTTGGAGATCCCAAAGGAAAAGCTCCAGCCCCAGAGTCTCAACCCTTCACCCTGTAGTGGGGCACTCTATAACCTGGTTCCCACATCTAAATCTCTCTCCATCCTACCCCTTGCACCATCCCGAGTTCCAAGTTTCTTTCATCTGTATCAGCCTCCAATGCCCAATTCCAGCCCCCCCCCCGCCAAAACCTCCCTTTCCAAATGGTCTATTAAACCCAAGGGACAGAACTATCACCCCTTGGGTTGTGTGACAATAACTGAATATAAGGGACCCCCTTTCCCTGGCCCCCAGTCATTCCTACAACCCTAGCCAGCCTCCTAAAGAAGTAGGCTTCCCCGGGAACATATTTCCATTTTTCTATCCACCAGCCCTGCTCATTGTCATCCCCCAGGCTCCTCCCCTAGTCAAAGTCACTGGATTCAGATACAAGGGTTAAGAGGGCTGAGGGAGAAGAAGATGAAAGGTCAGTCTGCCCTCTGACTGTAGATTTCAATTCTCTCACCACTGTCAGGAACCCCATAGGTTACCACTGCTGGGATTCACTGATTCACCATAAAAGGATCAACTATTCTATGGCTGCCAACAGGAGTCACTGGGATGTTTGATTCCCTTCATCTTTAAGGAAGAAGAAACATTGCATTTGGGGGAGGGGGAGAGGTAGAATAATGATTAAGGGAATGAAAAAGGAGAAGGGAAGAGAAGGAGGAACAAGAAGAGAATTTGGAAAGGAAAAGAAGAAACTCCTAGACAGATGCCTTGAGTGAATCTCCAGTGCCTGACATTGTGCAGGTATTTAATATGTGCTTGTGGAACTGAATTGAATGAAAATTTGTGAAATCCAGGCCTTACTGTGTCCTGATAAACACAAAGTCCCGCAATATTCAAGGTATACCACCAGGTGGAGCCCTAATCCAAAGCTAACTGCCCAAGTGAAGCCAGCCTAAAGCCTGGAGACAAGAGAATCAGGCAAGAGGACTTTGAGCTGAATGGGATTGAGTAAAAAGGGGCCCCACCTGAGGGGTGAAAGCCCCAAATTAAAGAATAAATGACGCAACTGAAGTTTTGAGTCAGTCTTCAGGAAATGTCTGGGATTCAGTACAAAAGGGCAGACATTGTCTAATGGGAAGGACCTGGTCTGACGTGGTTAGAAGCCATTTTTTAAGAAAATGACCCCATCCTCTAGGCCCAGTTGGATGGCAACATAAGGAAAGGGAAGGGAATAAGTCTTTTACTTAGTAAGAGCCAACTGTGTGTGAGGCACTGTGCTAAGCTCTTTACATATGGTATCCCATTTGATCCTCACAATAAGCCTGGGAAGTAAGTCTTATCATTATCATCCCCATTTGACAGTTAAGGAAACTGAGGCAGGCAAAGGTTAACTGACTTGCCCAGGGTCACATAGCTAGTAAGCGGCTGAGGCTATATTTGAACTTAGTTTTCCTTACTCCAGGCCCAGGGTCCTTCTTATCTACTGGGCCACCTAGGTAAAGTGGATAGAAGGGGTATTGGACCTGGAGTAAAGAAGACCTGAGTTCAAATGCTGGCTGAGTAACTAGCTGTATGACCCTGAGCAAGTCCCTTCTGTCTGTCTCAATTTCCTCATCTATAAAATGAGTATAATAATAGCATCTATTTCTCAGGGTTCTTATGAGGATAAATTAAGATAATTTTTAAAGCACTTTGCAAACACTATATAAATTCTAGTTATTGCTATCCATACTTTATATTATAAAATATTATTATTGTCCTCTGGACTCTCCAAACTTCTCAGTGAAAAGGTGCCCTCCTCAACCAAGCAGGAATGGCAAATTGCTCAAACATGGCAGCCAGTGCAAATACTGGCCTACATGACCTTGAAATTGTATCTCAAAACCCTGTTTTCTGCTTCTGCCTTGGATTTCTTTCCTGAACATAGGTGATCAAATGACAATCCTGAGATGGATATTTCAAGTTTTGGGAGCCACTGTGTGAGTTCAAGAGGCTGGTTCCTAAGATGGCAGACTAGAGGCAGCAACTCAGCTAAACCTTCTCAGCATTGCCCTTCAAACAACTTTAAAATAATGCCTCATATCAAATTTTGGAATGGCAGAGCCAACAAAAGGTCAGAGTGGATATTTTTCTGGCCTAAGAAAACTTGAAAAGTCTGCAGGAGACATCTGTGACTCCAGGGTAGACGCCTGTCCAGAGTGAAAAAATCCAGTGGCAGCAACAGCAGTAGCTATGGCAGCAGTAGTTTGGGGAGTTCTCAGCCCAGAGATGGCAAGGGGGTTGCACAACTGGTGAGAAAGAGATTGCAAGGGACCTATTAGTGGCCCTGGGTACAGCTGGCACTGACTGGCAACTCTATTGCCCATACACGGTTCTGGGTTATAGTTTTTGGGCAGAGAGGGGCTCTTGTGGTCAGTCACAAGAGAGTAGGGGCCCTCATCACAGTTCCAGGGTCAAGCAGAGTGCTAGTGCTTGTAGCTGCAAGGGAGAAGGGGTCCTTCCTGGGTAAAGACCAGAATTCAGACCACAAGAACAGTGACCATACCTCTCCTTGGATTACGACACTGCCCTGAAAGCACAAAAAACATGCAGACCACCAGAAATTACTCTGGAAATAGCAGCACAAAAAAGCCTGAAGCTTGGGAGAGTGCCTCCCCACCCTCAAGTAAACAGCATCCAACTTTAACATGAAGTTCAAAGTCAAGAAATATGCTAGAAAATCAGCAAAAAAACAAGAACTTGACTATAAAAAGCTACTACAGTGACAAGGAACACCAGAAAACTCAAAAGACGAGACTAACACGAAAACAGCTACAACCAAAGCATCAAAGAAAAATTTTAACTGAACACAAGCCCAACAAGAATTCCTGGAAGAGTTAAAGAAAAAGATAAGAGGGGTAGAGGAAAAAATAGGAAAAGAAATAAATGAAGCAAGAAAATTATGAAAAAATAATTAACAGCTTAGGAAAAGAAGCACAAAAACTATTGAAGAAAATAACACCAAAAAAAAAAAACCAGAATTGGCCTAATGTTTAAAAAGGGGGGGGGGGACATGAAAATTCACTAAAGAAAAAAACCCCTTAAAAAGCAGAATTGGGGGAGGGGGGCAGAGCCAATATGAGTGAGTAAAAGCAGTGACTTGCTTGAGCTCTCCCCCAAACCCCTCCAAATACCTATAAAAAATCCTTCTAAACAAATTCTAAAGCAGCAGAACCCGCAAAAAGACACAGTGAAACAAATTTGCAGCCAAAGACAGCCTGGATGGTTGATCAGAAAGGTATATTGTGCCAGGGCGAGGAGAGGAACTCGGTTTGGGGTGGGCATGCAGGCCGCAGCAACCCTGGAGCAGGCCTCAGAGGACTGAATCACAGGCAGCTGTGGTGGTCTCCAGACTTCGAAACCCAGAAACACCAAAGACAACTTAGAAGGTCAGTGGAGAAAGTCTGTGTCTACAGTGAGAGAGAGCAGTGGTCTCAGCCCCAATTCCCAAGTGCAACCCAGGGTGGTGGCTGCTTCCTGA